AAGGGCAATCTCTTCCCTATTAGTCTGCCTAAGGAGATTAAAAAACTAGCATCCCCTCTTTTCATGGGATAGCTAGGTGGCTCATTGGATAGAGAACTAGGTTGGGAATCAGGAAGATTCATCTTTCTGAATTCAAATATGGCCTCAGAGACTAGCTGTGTGACCCTAGGCATGTAATTTAATCCTGCTTGCCTCAGTTCTTCATCTGTAAAAGGAACTGGAGAAGGAAATGGCTATATCAGAATAAATAGGAAATAATTAACAGAGGGAAGGCCTTAGAATTAAGAGCCATTTGGAAAAGCTTCTTTAAAAGATGGAATTTTAGCTAGGACTTTAAGGAAGCCAGGAGGTGGAGATGAGGCAGGATAGCATTCCAGGCATTTGAGCCAGCCAGAGAAAATGCTTGGAGGTGAGAGACAGAATGCCTTGTTCACGTAACAGCAAGGAGGTCAGGGTTGCTTGATACAAGATTACATTGGAAAGAGGAGTGTAAGGTATAGGAAGATTGGGAAAGTGGAGGATAGGGGTTAGGTTATGAAGGGCTTCGAATGCCAAAAAGAGGATTTTATACTTGACCCTAGAGGTAATAGGGAATCACAAGAGTTTATTGAATATGGGGTTGTCATGGTCAGACTAGCACTTTGAGAGAACTACTTTGGTGACTAATTGGAGGATGGGCTGGGGTAGGAAAAGATTTGTGTCAAGCAAACCCACTAGCAATGTATTATAATAGTCCAGGTTTAGTGAGTTAATGAAGGCCTGTGACAGGGTGGTGGTAGTATCAGAGGAGAGAAGGGGGGTGTATATGAAGGATGTTGCAAAGGACAAACTGATAGGCTGTGGCAGAAGGATTGGAGGGAGTTTGGGGGAGCAGTTCAACTTTGGACATGTTGAATTTAAGATGTCTACTCTACATCCAGTTATGGATGTCTGAAAGGCAGTGGGAGATGAGAGACTAGAAGTCAACAGAGAAGTTAGGGAAGGATAGGTAGATCTGAGAATCCTTAGCATAGAAATGATAATTAAATCCACAGGAGCTGATGAGATCACCAAGTAAAGAGTATAGAGGAAGAAGAGGAGAGTGCTAAGGAGAGAGCCCTGTGGGACACCTATGGTTAATGGGTATGATTTGGATGAGGATCCAGCAAAGAAGACTGAGAAGCAGTCAGATAAGTAGGAGGAGGACCAGGCAAGGGTGGTGTCCCAAAAACCTAGAGAGAAGGGCATATCAAGAAAAAGAGAGGGATCAGTGACAAAGTCTGCAAAGAAAGGAGAATTTGAGAAAAGGCCACAGGATTTAGTAATAAGATCACTCATAACTTTGGAGAGAGCAGTTTTACCAGAATGGTGAGGTCAGACTGTAGAGTTTTAAGAAGAGAGTGAAATGGGTATAACCAAAACAAATTGCTTACCATCTCAGAGAGAGAAAAGGAGAGGGACCGACATAATTTGGAACTCAAAATTTAAAAAGAAAAGAATAATAAAAATTGTTTTTACATATAATTGGAGAAAAAATAAAATAATACTTTAAAAAAAGGAGAGTGAGAGGAGAGGAAGTGGAGGCACCTATTGTAGATGGCATTCTTTAGGAGTTTTACCAGAAAGGGCAGAAAAGATATAGGATTACAGTTAATGGGGTTGAAAGGACCAAGTAAGGTTTTTTTTTTTTGAGGCTGAGGAAGACATGGGCATGTTTGTAGGCAGGTGTGGGAAGTAGCCAGTAGACAGGAAGAGATAGAAGATAAGTGATAGAATGGGAAATAGTAGGGGGCAATCTATTAGAGGAGTTGAAGTGAAATGGGATCACTTTTGCCCCCTATGAAAGCAGAAGTTGAGAAGGAGAGAAAGATTGTGAGCCAGGTACTGAACTCCTTGAGAAAAGAAGGGGAGTTCCTTGGTACTTTGTTCAATATTGGTATAAATGTTACCTGAAAGCCTGGGGCAGAGTCATGTCAGAGGGAATGGAAGACTACTCCAGTTTGAACATATCTCTTCCCAACCTAAAAATAGCTTGGAAATAGACTAATGATGAATCATATTTTTTTCTGGCATGCTAGTTAGTTCCCAAATGCAGAATGTAATATTAGTATTATTTTTCTTTGAAACTTTAATGTTTATTAAGCTAAACAGAAGGAAAATGCTTTAGTCTCATCTATTTAATATGGAAGCTATAAAAATCTGGAGAGTTGGGGTGGGGTGCTAAATTACTCAGAACGACAGTCTATAGAAATTATTAATTCCCCACTTCACTTCTGTCAGGATGGATACTAGTGAGTAGTAAGAATAGCTCTGTGGAAAAAACAAGTCTATGATGGATCACTCAAAAAAGTATAAAGTAAACATGTAAGAAAGCAAGCCAAGATGTCTAAAGATAAGGTTCCTTATGCTATAAAACAATGAGCAGGGAGAGTAGGGATATATGTACACAAAGTAATTCTTGTCTTCGTGGCAGATTCAGAAATGAGAAATTCAGTAATAAACTGCTCACTCTGCTTGTATTCAGCTGAAATATTTATCTGAGGAACTGGAAAAGGAAAATTCTATGTGCTTCAATGAGCTGGTACTTCTCAATTGTGCAGGATGTGCTAATAATAATTCTGACTAAAACATATTTACATGCTAATAATGTCTGATATTTTAAAAATACTTAAATGCTAAATTGAAAAAAAGCTAGTCTCAGAGAGATTCCCTGTTTATAAAAAAAAAAGATTTAGGTTTCTAGATATCTCTCTACATAAGAATATATTACTTCTACACAGAATTTTAAAGTTGTAAACTATCACATATACAGGGGTATGCTGGAGACAGTTCTAATTAGCTTGGAAGAGATGATTGTTAAAATTTTCAGTGCTAGCATTTATACCTCAGTAATTGGCAATCTCAGCGAATCAGAACTTGATGTATTGTTTTGTTGATTGTCTAGACTTAAGAAAGTAATAATGCAGATCAAACTCAAATGTGTGCACTGCATGCATATATATACATATGTATATGTATATATATGCACACATATATACAAATATACATACACATATATGTATATCTGTATACACAAGTGTATATATGGATACACACATACATACATATATACTTACACATACATATATATTCCAGAAATTTTGTTGTTCAGTTATTTCAGTCATATCCAATTCTTTTGTGACCCCATTTAGAGTTTTCTTGGCAAAGATAATGGAGTGGTTTGCCATTTCCTTCCCCAGCTTATTTTACAGATGAGAAGACTTAGGCAAACAGCATTAAGTGACTTGCCCAGGGTCACATAGCTAGTAAGTGTCTGAGGCTGGATTTGAACTCAAGAAGGTGAGTCTTCCAGACTCTAAGCCTGGTGCTCTATCTACTGCACCACCTAGCTGACCTAAACCAGTTTGTATATATAATATATATATATATATATATATATATATATATATATATATATATATATAAGTACACACCTATTTTACTCTATAAGCATTGATGATGATGACGATGATGACTACTAGCATTTACATAGTGTTTCAAGGTTTGCAAAGTGCTTTATATACACTATTTCATTTGACCTTTGCAACACCCCTGTGTTTATTTCATGATGTAAGGCATCAAATGAGTGCAATTACTATTCTCATTTTAAGTATAAGGAAACTAAGGCTCAAGATGTTAACTCTTTGGCCCAAAACCACCACAACAATTCTCTTTACTTTTCATTATTTTAATACAAAGAGGCAGTATAGCAAAGCTAGGAAGACATAGATTCAAATCTGGTCTCTAACACAAGCTGACTAGGTGATCTTAGCCACTTTTCTTCCAGTGTGTTAGGCTAACTCTCTAAGATTATATGTTTCAGAGAATGTGCTACCTTGCATTGGTAGAAGTTTCCTCATGTAGTAGTTCCTGTATTGATGAAATCACAAATCCAATCATCCTTTAATGACAAGTATAAACTGTAATATATATGTGTGTGTATGTATATGTAGCACATATGTGTATATATATTAGTATATAGAGTATATATATATGTTATATATATTTCTAAATATCAATGCATGTATACACACACACACACACATATATATATATACACTTATACATATATACATTATCTATCCATTCATCCATCCATCCATCCATCCATCTAACTTCACTAGTTCAACTCTGAACAAACTAGAGTGTTAAATTTCCCAGGAGTAGTAAAGGGAAGTTCTTAAGGAGTGAGAATATGGATCATTAACAAAGTTTCTTTCAATAGACTCTGTAAAAGCTATCTTCTCTTCCAAAACCTTAACTCCGAAATTAAATGTGTCTTAAGTCTGCTTAAAATAAGCACTACCGGAGTGATTCACTTGTAGCTTGTAATGAAGACTCACACACATTTCTAAAATAAATAAGATATATCAGTATTATAAAATTTTTCAGGTTACAATCCACATTTAATAATTCAATACTTTAAAAAATGTCAACTTCTTGTAGGTTTATGGTCAAACTGAATGCTTATTACTGAATACATTTAGGTTCCTAATGCTACAGAAAATGAAAAAAACATGTAAAAGTTATCTTTCAGAAAGTACAGGACTCAGTTATTTGTCTTCCTCTTTTCAGACAAACTCGAAGGAAAAGCTGCCTCTACTTCTTTACCTCTCACTTATCAACCTTTTTGTGATCTGGCTTCAAATCTCATTAATCAACTGAAATTAGTCTCTCTTTTTGGTATTTATCTTCTTTATATTTAAGCTATATGTACTTAACCATTTTTTTTTTGTCTCCTCTATTGGGCTCTAAGTTCCTTACAAGTAGGGATTATTTCATTCAATGTACGTTGCACCAGCACCTAAGGCAGTGCCTGGAACATTACAGGTCCTTAATAAATGTTTAATTGGGTGTAATGGACTGACTTTTGGTGTCCATTATAAATGGTTTCCCAGTAAAGTGATTTCTCTTTTAAGCTATTACTTAGAAATTGATTTTAAAAGACACATAAACTTCATGGCTATTTAAAGTAGATTTACCTTGGGAAGTTCCAGATGACGGACATTTTTAAAAGAACTGAAGTCTATTGCTATAATAGAACTGGTAGTACTCAATTCAGCCTACAGGAGGAAAAAAATTTAAAAAAAATCAAGCATATTTTCAAACAAAAAGATCCATTTTAATCAAAACAATTCAACAGAGTGGCATTTTTCTTGTTATTATTATTGTTGTTTAGCACTTGATGAAATTTACAAATATTTTATCTTACAAATTGAGTTTTAATCATTTTATAAAATAAATTACCTTTGAGGTTAAATGACTTTCCAAAGTTGCCTAGAATTTCTATGATGTAACTGTAGAAAATCTCTAAGGCACAGTTTCTTAACCTGAGATCCATAAACTTCAATAAAAAAATGTTTTGAGTACTATATTTCAATGTAATTGGGTTTTCTTTGTAATATGTACATATGTCATACATATGTCACATTTAAAAACACTATTCTGAGATGGCTACAACATATATAAAGTTAAAAATCCCTACTTTAAAAACTCAAATGCCCTAAAACAGCAGGTTCTGCCTCAGCATCCATCAACCATTTTTAAAAATTTTTTTCTCCTCTAAATGAAATTAATCACCATTTAAATGTGTCGGTTTGAAAACTGTAGACATTCTCCATTATTTCCTGTAGTAATAATAATAACAACTCCTATTAATAAAGTGCTTTTTTTTCACACTAACATCAGTCAGCTGGTATGAACAGCAATATGAAATTTTCTCCTGCACAACTTCAACTGTAAGAACAACAAAGATTGCAGCAGACCTGGGGTCACTGTCCTGAGAGAAGATTTAGCAAAAAGCTGTCTGTTCATTTGAGCTTGCATCTATCTATTTCACTGAGTAAGTGGCACCATAGAGAGGATTCCAAGATACAGAAGATACAGATACAGAACAAGTTTGTGTTTCACTCTGTACTGAAAGGAAGATGTTTATACATCAATAAAACACTGGGTAGAGAATAGTATTGCCCCCTTTGGACCATGCATAGCATCTCCTTTGTATCTCTTAACTCTTAAAGCTATTATTTGTATCTATATTATAATTAGAAATTTGTCATTTGTATCTATAACATAGACATATTTTTGTATCTATATTGTTGGAAATATTTTGTATATATTATAATAAGAAATATTTATACAAGTACTTCTAACTATAATATAGATACAAACAATGCATAATGTGTTATATACATTGCTATAATAAAATAAGAGTAATTTGTATATATGCCATTTCTCTCTCCTAGACTATTAGCTCCATGAAGGCAAAGTCCATGTCCTCCAGTACCTAGAACAACTTTTTTTTTTATACTTAAGGAATGTTTTTTGAATCAAATAGAAATGAACTGAGGATTGTGGATGACAAATATTGGCCCAATAGTACATCCTGGTATGACAAATAAAAGGCTTTTTTATTTGCTTTAACAATTGTATGAACTTTGTGGATTAGTTCAGAGAATTTTGAATAATATATTTTTAAATAATTATTGAAATTTGTAGTGGTGTGCAAATTATGTAGGATAAGCAATTTGGTATCATTTTGTGACAGCAATTGTGTGTATATACATGTGTATGTGTTTTTACTATCACTGAGATGATCTAAAATCTTTGATCAACAAAATAGAATTTAGCTGATTTTCCCAACTTAGCATAGTTCTCTGTTAGTTGACTGCTAGATTTTGCATCACACACGTGTGCTTTTTTTGCTGTGTTTTAATTCTGTAGCACTTAAGGATGGATATTACTCCAAAGAAATATGTAAGACCTGTAGTTCTTAAAGAGCATACTTTAATGACAGAAACCCAAGGAGTATAATTAAGGCTAGATATGGAAAAATGGACTGTCAAAGGTGATTTTAGGATGAAAAGTGTTGTTTAGTGATGAAGAATTAGTCATAATAATAATAGCTAACACTTACATAGTGCTTTAAAGTTTGCAAAGCACTTTATAATTATTATATTCACAACCATCCTGGGAAGTACAGGGCATTATTATACAATTTTACAGATGAGGAAACTGAGGCAGAGTAACCTCTGTGACTTGTACAGGATCACACAACTAGTAAGAATATGCAGTCAGATCTGAACTCAGGTCTTCCTGACTCCAGACCCCAATGTTCTTATCCATTGTGCCACTTGCATGCCTCATACATTAAAGAATTAAAGAACATGTGACAAATGACTGGAAATTTAATGCTAAATCATGTAAGACAAGTGACTGCAGTAAAAAGAGAATATACTATATGTTAAAAGATTTCTAAATATGTATTTATATCAATTTGATTATTTTACTTTGTCCTAATCAATTTAAGCACCACTCTACAGAGCACTTAATAAAGTCCTTTCACAAAGAAATAAAATATGCAACTAAGATACCTCCTGATTCTGAAGAGCCTCTACAGTAGAAGGTAAACCTTCCAGTCCTTTACCAGGACAAACAGCCATTTGATTCACTGCATCTTTATTTCTAGAAAACAAAGTATAATCATGCTAAGTTCAATTTAAATAATATATACATCTACAGTAATAGGTGGCAGGTATGCCCTTAAATAGAAATCTGGGATATTTATTTGTTTTTAAAAATATACATTTTGTTTTTCATTCATGCTTTAACATAGCAGACATCTAATTAGCATTTCTGGAATAAACATAAAAGAATGTACAATTGACTTTCTAGCTAAAGCGTTTAGAAAACTGGTAGGAAAATAAGGCTCACCTGATAAAAATGATTTTTACTCTTGATGGGGCACATTTAATTATTGATGAGGCATTCTGATGACTTCTTCCATATAAAATTTGCCCATTTATCTGTATAAAACAAATATAGACTAGCCTTGAAATTTAGATTTCTCTATTTCATAAAACACTATCTTTAAAAAGCAGAATGTGTGTCACTTTTGATCATTCTGATGAAATAACTGTCTTGACGTACATATACACACATGCATATATAATGTATGTGTGTGTGTGTTTGTGTATGTTTAACCATCAATCTCTGAGAGCAGAAATAAAGATTATCTCTCTCTTCCTCTCTGTTTCTCCTTCTATCTGTCTGTGTCCCTTTTTCCCCACCCCATACACAACACACACACAAACGCCACATAGTTTAATGACCATGTAGTGTCTAAGATTAGTCACCATGTGCTCTAGTAGTCTAAGGCATCTGTCAGGCAAGCAGGAAGTCACTGGAGCTTGCCGTCTTCTATTAGCTGCAGTCGCTTACGATCTGGCTCTCTCATCAATTAACAAGCTACTCAAATTATTCAAAGGATCTTGCTGCTGTGACTGCTGCCAGTTTCCTGGTATGTAACAGCAGAATCACAGTGTTCAGAGTCCCAAATGAGTCTCTGTTTGACTCATGGGCAATAGAAGTCTAGGGTGTGCTTTTATTTTATACTGTATTTTATGATGCTTCATTTTTACAAAGCACCTTCCTCACCAGTTATCCTATGAAATATGCAATGTAGGTACTATAAGTCCCATTTTATAGATTAGCAAATAAGGAGTCAGAGACGTTAGGTGACTTAACCATGGTCATTTAGGTAAGGCCAACCTGACCTTCAATCATCAATAAGAGCCTATTTTTTTCACAATAAAATGATAAGAATGAATTATTGCTGCATTGCAAATTGGTGATTCTATCTTTTATTAGGATTTTCTTGTCTTCAGTATACATCACAGAGTGGGATACCACAAGAAAGTTACCTCCAGAAGTTCATCTCCAATCTGCAGTCGACCATCTTTCCCAGCTGCACCATTTGGGTCAATTCCAACTATAAAGACACTCATTCTTGATCTATCTTTGTTTCCAGCAAGACTCAGGCCCAAACCAGTTCGACCTTTTTCTAGTTCAATCATGAAGAGTTCACCGGCTAGGGTTCCATAGCGCTGAAGGATATTTTCTATATAAAATTGAAAGTGAGCAGGTTTAAGGAGCTAATTATTATTAATATCTAAGAATTCTGATCATCATTACTTAGCTGCAATCTCCACATGCCACCACCTACTTTGTTAGTATTATATACTTTATACTGTTTCTTCAGTTTCCTATGTCATTTTTTGAAAAAAACTACTTTAACTTATATCTTTAAAAAAAGAAGAAGAAGAAGAAACAGTGCTTTCTTTATAACAACTTTGGCAAAATTAAAGAATCTCCTTCCTTTGCCTTTTGGAATGGTTAATTTTCTTAGAAGATAACCTTTTTCTTTTTTTTTTTTTTGTTGAGAGCTACAAAGTAATTTGGATATAATTTAAATCGAAGTCTTCACAATGTATGTCAGCAAACTGACACACAGGGATATTAAATTGATTTGCTCACCATAATGCAACTAGTTAGTGGCAGAACCAAGGCTAAAACCCAAATCGTCTGAATTATCAATAGGGAAACTTAACCTGGAGATAAGTCTTGCCTTTCCCTGATGGAAAATTGCTTGTATACTAATGTACTTTTCATGAGCACAGCAAAATAAATATTCTTGAGGCTGTAACCATGAAAACATAACTGTAAATAGGAGTAGCTCTTGGAATTCCCTTTTATTTTACATATCAGTAAAGTAAAAGTGAAATTTGTTGAGTTTCTCACATTTACAAAGGAAGAAAGGATTTGGCTTTCAGGTCCAGTTTACTGCTTGCTCCTACATCATGCTGTCTGTATGTTGAGGCCAAAAGACCACAAAGATTAGAATATCTACCAATTATACATGCATACCAACTATAATTAATTACAAACAATTTAATCATCAAAGGGAGCCCATTTATTCTTACTTTCATGTAAGTCTCTTTGTAGTAAACACTATAAATGGGAAAGTCTGAATAAAGAGGATTTTAAAAAGAAAGAAAAACATGCTTTGTTGCCTCAGGAATGTGTGTTGTATTCAAGCAAAACCATGAGTAATTTTCATTTTCAGATTATTCTGTTTAGGGAAACTAAACAGGCATTCACCTGGACCCAAACCAATCTATTTTAACAAAACTCCTTTCTAAACACCATTCCAACAGAACAACTTACTCCAACTGTAGCCAAACTCATCTTCTTTGTCTCCATCTTCTGAGACTTTGCTGGAACATGACTCTTCAGTATCACTGCTCATTCCAGAAAATGTTGAAGGAGGGGGTAGAGACAAGCTGGGGAATGAAGTCTTTTCAGCCTCTGAATCCAACTGACTAGATGCCTGTGGAGAACAAGAAGAATGCAGTAAATATGTGCAGTCTAAGGACCAGAAAACTTCACAGAATGAAAAAAAAAAGGAAGAAACAACAACAACTATGACTTTAATGTTTCAAACACACAGCAATTACATTGTGGAATGAAAGCTATAGGGGAAAGTGATGGCATTCGATCACATGTATATTATGATAGACAAGATTCAGTTAAAGTCTAAATGTACTCCACACAGCAAATATTCAAAGCCCAATTTAATGGCCTGTTATGCACTATTTTTAAAGTAAAGAATCATTCAGTTTTGAAGACTGAAATGACTATCATATGAAATTAGCACAAACTTCCCCTTTAAAAAAAATCCCTCATTCAAATTTTTTCATAAATATGTAGATAGAGTGGGTGAGGCTTGCGGGGTTTGGTAGGTTCTTTCAACAAATTAAAAGGAAGTTAACTGAGACATCCGGCTTTGAAATAGTAGCTCAACTGAAATGTATACAAAATATATACCTTAGATTTATATTGAATTTTTGCATGCATTTTTCATATGCCCCTCTTGTGAAGAAAATGAGCTTTGAATTCAGGATTCTCAACTCTACCCTACTCTCAACTCTACAAATGAGAAAGTATACACAAAGCACTCTGCAAATCTTAGAGCACTATATAAATTTTATCTATCATTACTATTACTTCCTGACTCTTGTCTTTATGGAATCAGAGAATCTTGGAATAAGATGGAATGTCTGAGAGTCATCTAGTCTGATCCTAATCTGATGGTTCAGGTTACAGACCTATTTTTTGCATAGAACTTCATAGCCTTAGAAAAATGAGTGCAGGTCAATACACCGGAACACTGGCACCTTCAGAGGAGGGGCAAATGTAAAAATATTTGTTCTAAATATAAATAAGTCCAAAGCGATGTATATGTATATACATATATCACTTTGGATTCTTTATATATGTGTGTGCCATAGTTATAGTTATCCAGCAAATAAGCAATCATTAAAAATTAAAATAAATCATTAAAGTCAGCAGAGTCTGGGTATACATATATATTTGCATGCCACAATTTTAAGACAAGAAAAGACCCCAGAAATGCAAGTACCATGAGCTTTCAGAAGCCTTCCCTGGTATCTCTAAAATTATACTGATCATTTTCCTTCTTCTCCCTCCTATTATACTGTTGCTTGTATTTCATCTTACTCTTCATTGTTTCTTGTACATATATGCCTGGGCAGGGACTAAAATTTATTTCTTTGGCAATCAACTTCTCCTATTATTAGGTACATAATAATAGGTGCTTATTGATTTTTAATCAGCTGTTCAAAAAAACAGCACATGGCAGAATAGTGATAACTGGACCTACAATTTGATTAGTACAAGGACCTTCTGGATGAGGAAACTCCCTCTATCAAAGTAAAGCAAAACCTTCTCTGCAATTTAGTCTTACGAGAATTTCCCTAGAGCAATGGTGTCAAAGTGGGGCCACTAAACCATATGTAAGGATTCCTGTGAGCTACATAGTGACTTAGAAAGCCATATATTAATAATCGTCTGTTTCATTCTATTTTTATTTATTTTGTTAAATATTTCCAATTATATCTTAATCTTATTTTGATGGCACTCAAGAAAGGTGGGCCCACATGGGGCCCACCAGTATGTTTGACCTCTCTGGCCTGGACCACTGAAATTAAGTGACTTGGTCTGGAACACACAGTCAGAGTCCAAGTCCTTCTGGCTTCAAGGATGGATCTCTACCTGCTATATTAAATTTCCTCTCATGATAGCATGTTAAAATAAAGACTGTGTTGAGTAATTATGTATTCTATGTAGCTCATAGAAACAGAAGGGGATTCAGAAACAATCTATCCTCACATTTTACAGATAAAGAAAATGATACCCAGAAAGAGGTTAATTGATTCGCCTTAGATTACAAAAGTAGTATTTGGAAGAAAGTTGGGATTAGAACTCAGTTCCAGGATTCCAGAGTTCAATGATCCAAGTCCAGTCCTTTTTTGAGGACACCATGAAAATGATTCAGAAAAGGTCATCAGAATTTCAAAGTACCAAAGGGTTATTATTATGCATATTAACTGCCCTGCCACAACAAAGTGCTGATCACATGATGATTTTGATCAACAAAGACTGCTGCATAACAAAGCTTGCTATATAATGAATGATCTTTTCCATTAACAAAATGTTGTCTAACCAGCCTGCATATTGCTATAATAAATGAAGCTTTTGCAATCTTAAAAAAATGTAACGCTGCTCCAAACTTCACCCAGGATGAGCTTTGTATTAATCTCACATGGCTCATTTGATTCAGTCAAGTTTTATTAATAATGCATTGTAGAAACGTCTCTAAAATTTTTCAGTTATAAAAAAGGATAACTTTTTTTTATGATAAACAGAAGTGATGGAAAAGTAACAATTAGGAAAATTTTACCAAATAAAACAATGAGCAAACTTAAAATATATGCTTCCCAAAACTCATTTTTTTCCCAAAAGAGAATTTTGGCAAATCTAGAAATTCAGACTGTATGGCTCCCAACAAAATTATGGCATGACATCTTATATAAATGAGTTCTATTTAGGCTAGAATGTAGTTAGCAAACTTCTTTGCCTGGAATTCTAGGTCCTTCCCAGTCTTATCTTGATCCACTTCACTTCATGCAGTATCTGTTACAGCTAAAAATAGACTATACTTTTGCCTACCCTCTACCCAGCAACCCAGCTTTCAACACATTTCTATCTTAGCTCACATTATGCCCTATGTGTGGAATTGCCCTCCCTTTTTCCATGTTGAATTCTTAACAATCCTTTCAAGTCTGCTCATGCCAACTCCATCAAATTCCATCCTTCATCTGTAGGTCAGAAATTACTTTTTTACCTTGAACTTGGCTTTGCTTTGCAACTCTCATACACGTGCTGTGTAGTGTTTATTTTAATTAACCATATGTGTATCTTATCTCCAACAGGGTCTATGGCTTATCTAAACTTCCTATGGCCCCTGGTGACTATGATGGCTCTCTGAGCATAGCAGCAACTTAATGTGTATTTGCTGAATGGTATCTTCCTTGAAGACATCAGCTTGTTAGAAATACTTCTTAGGCTAAAGTAAAATCTTCAAAAGTCTAAGGTGCAAACCTAAATGTTGCTATAGTAAAATACAGAAACTCTTAAAGACTAGCCCTTTACCTAGTGGAAGACTGAATGGAGTCTAACCATTTCACTAACACTGACACACCCCCTCCCATTGAGCTTATGTAATTAGCTCATTGTTGGCACTCTACACATTCCTTGATGGTAACGATAATCCTTTAACATGCATATTTTATAGCTTTCAGGATAGCAGGTAAAGTAGAAAACATAAGCTATTCTGAAAATATTACATGCCACATACATACATACACATACATGAATTGCAAACATCAATCACAGCATACTAAGTGCAACACACGCACTTATTTGTATAAAACTACATACTGAGACAAACCTTAAATGGTGTGGGAGCAAAAGGGTTAGTTGGGGAACAACGGAAGGTAACTCTACCTGGATTCTGTACACCCTACAGTAACAGAAAATAACATTCCACACATTATAGATTATTATCAACTTTGATTATGCACATTCCTATAGTATATAATCCCTTGCATATTAAAGATGGGTAAAAAACCTGCCGTAATTCATGAAATGCTTCCTGATAGACATAAATGGCAAATTCAACCCTTTCCATGATCAAATACCAGTATACAGTTTTTTTAATGCCTGCTAATTTTTTCTGAAAAGGTTTTCCAAATTTACCAGAATATTAATTTTCATATAAAGTCTACAGAAGCAGAACTGTGTATGCTGCTTCTTGGCCCAGACACTTATCATCAGAACATTTGGGGAATATAAATAGACTCATATATCCACTATTACATAAGAAGGCTAGATGTAGACACACTATTCTGTTACTACTATGGACAAATCTGTAAATGTAGTAGTTTTTAAATTGCTTGCAACAGTGCAAAGTTTTCATAAATAATTTTTCATAAGTTGAACGGAAAAAAAAATTCATTTACAAACAACATCAATATCAAAAATCAAAACTACAAAAAAAAGACACACATATAATAATCACCCTTACTGTTCATAAGGGACATCTAATTTCAGTTACAAAAATGAACTGGATCTAGTATAGACAATCTATTTAAAAGAGTATTTTCATGCCTCCTAGAAGCTCAAAAGTTTTTTTTTCAGATCAAATTTAACAATGTAGATTAAGAATTCACTAAAGCAATAACAAAGCACATACAGCACTTTTGGAAAGAGGAATTGCAAGCCAAAGGCATTATCCAACCTTATCAGTGTTGAGCTGCAGAGAATCAGCAAAGGGGTTAGTGCTGCTGAAACTGTACTTAGTGTGAAGATGGTACGGCAGGGAAGGCAAAGGGGGTTTCTAAAAGGAAACAGAAGAGGACCTATGAAGAAAAGCAGTTCTCAAGTATGGCTTCAGAGCTAAAATGGAATATATTCTATTAAAAGTTATATATGTGTATAATTATATTTAGCTTTTAGATCTAATTATTAATATAATCAGAATACTTAAATAATCTGAAATTAAAAGCATTTAACATAAAAACAAAATAATTGATGCTCCTTTTAAAATGCTGAATAAAAGAAGGAGTTCACAAGGGTCAAAACCAGCTCGTAAATTTAAATATGGAAGCTGGTTTGTCTGATGATGGCCCCACCCCAAAAGAATGCCTTTGTATTATTCATTGTACCAACAAACATATAAACACACACACACACACACACATATATATTTATATATATGTTGACATATAGATACCCCCACTATATTTTAAAGTATTATAATAAGTACATTTGTTTGCTCATTTCAGAAAATAGAAATAATTTTACATTTCACTATATATGTATATATTCAAATACAAAACAAAACATTATAGTGTGCCAGTTCAAGAATCTCCACAGTTATGCCCTCCTTCCCATTTTCCATTGTACTATTATTACTTTTATTGGTTGTTAAAGTTACTTCTCAATTATTTCATGCTTAAAAACAAAAACAAAAGGTAAAGAAAACAAATAGTTGATGAAATAAATTTTGTCAGTTTCTGTTTTCCTCTTCCTTTTGCCTGGGATAGAGGGGATGAGAAATGGGGTTTGGGGAAGCTGTGGGTGAAAACCAAAGAAGAAGAAGAAGATGGAACACAGGGGAATCAACTTGAATAAATTTCCCTGTAAGGAAGTAAAAGACCTCAGGAGCAGCCTATGAAAGTCCCTTGCAGTCCTGGGAAATAAGAAATACAGGAAATGGGGTATAGAAATCTATCCTGCCCTACAGGAAAGTAGAAGGAGAAGCGGATAAGAGAAGCCGGGGAGAGAGAGAAGGGAGGGCAGACTAGGGGAAGGGATATTCAGAATGCATGCCATCTTGAGGTGGGGGAGGGGAGAGATGGGGTGAAAATTTGGAACTCAAAATCTTGTGGAAGTAAATGTTGAAAACTAAAACTAAATAAATTTTAAAAAAGAATTTTTTTAAATTCCTTGCAGTCTCTATTTTTTAACTTGTCTGTAATGATCTATAAGCCAATATTTCTAGAGCCTAATAAATTGAAAGGAAGGATGATTGCCCACTGTAATCCAGCATTTCCATAGGCTTGTTGGTTTTTTTTGCTGGGGGGGGATATTTCCCCACCCTTACTTTTCAAATTTTCTTATTCTTTTATTTCATGTATCGTCTAAGAGAAAAGTTGCATACATTTAAAATTCATTTCAGCTCTAGTTAGATGTTTCTGCTATTTCTCCTCATAAAAGCCTTGTTGGCAGCATTAAGTGTAAGCTATGGTACAGTCATGTGCCACGACACTGCATGATTGTATTCTAGTGAAATATTCAGATGCAAATTTCTACTAAAGCTTATGCCAGTCTTCTTTCTAACTGCTGTTCTCTTAACTGTTTTCCTAAATAAAAAATGGGCACACTGATGCTTTTGCTCCTCTCAAATTCTACTGCGCTTTTTAATAAAGTTTTTAATTTAAATTCTTCATTTTACCAAGTGGGAAACCACTGGATTTTAGTCTCATTGAAGACAGGGATTGTCATTTTTCAGGTCTGCATTTCCATGGTCTAGCCTGGTGCCTCGTACATGTTGTGTTATTCAATAATACTTGTTGCATTAAAATACCAAAGTTAATGTGGTCATTTATCAATTTGATAAAGATGATTAGGGAGAGGAAGACAAAATACCCTAGGTCCAATGGTTTAATCTTTTGTAGGAAAGAAGATAGTACTTCTTTAGCATTTTAGCAACAAGAACTTTGTTGCAGTGGTTCCCAAAGTTTTGTTGCTTTGGTCTTGGGCAAACTCCTTTCAATAACAAGAACAATAAAAACAAAAATGTGTTGTGAATCCCCAGGGCAATTTAATATACTATTTACAGTATTCTGCATTTATTTACTGCATAAGGCACATTAAGGAATTGTTACCAGGAACTCCTCAGAATGTTGTCACAAACTCCCAAAGGGTTCATGAACCTATAAATGGGAATGACTGGTTTGAAGTATCAGATGAGAGGTAATATGTTACAGTAACAAGAATGCTGGATGTGGATTGGAGTGAGAATTGGATTGGAATCTCATTTCTAGTACTTATTAGCAGGAGTCTGAGCAAGTTGCTTACCTCCTGAACCTAGATTTCTTTAACTGTAAGATGGGTATAATAATACTGGTAGATTACCTACCTCAAAGCGCTGGTACGAAGATAGCATGACATGTAGAGTACAATGTAAATGTCAACCATTGTTATTAATAAAATTTGATGTGAGATTCTCTGGTTTTCTGGTTTAGAGCTATTATTTAATTTGTTTAAGAAACTGCCAGAGTAGAAACTTCCTCTACTGATGTAAATTGTCAAATCATCTATGACAGAGTTTTCTGGGGCATGAAAAGGGAGGTGATCTGGCCATAACAGCACATACCTATATTCTACATCACCCTGCTTTTCCTATGAAATGTTCACCCTCCCCATGTAATACTATGGAAAACTTCAGAAATCATAAAAATCTAGGAAATGGCTATATTTATCACTAACCAAATTTCTTAAGTTATTTTTCATTTGTAGTTATTTGGGATTAGAACTTGGCCCTGACACTAGAGTATAGAAGAACAGTATGAACACAAATGGAATGATAGATCACTTAAACATTCTTCTTATTATTACCTAAAAATTTATAGAAATGGAACAGAATTCATATTGAAAAATCAGTGACTGTCATTTATGTTTACATCCTCAAGGGCCATTGACAGCAAACTGGAGGATTATTAACTGGAAAAAAAAAGACAGGGTTGCAGTGGGAGACAGAAGAAGAGAGAAATTTGGCTCTTTTTGAATTGAGTGAACCCACTTCAAATGGGAGACTGGTTCAGTGAATTCATCAGTCTGTTATGCATCATTCTGCTGTGTATAATGCTGTAAAGTAGATATAAAGGCCCTGTCAGATTCACTGGCAGTTATAACTTTTAGGGCAATTTACAAGCAAAGTTATCTTATACCTGTAATGGGCAGGTACCTACTGTGGAAAAACATGTGCTACTGAAACTCAAGTACAGTTTCCCATGGAGTTATTAGGAATAGGAATATAAACAACAGGAAGAAGAAATTTCAAAAAAGGTAAATAAACCTCACTATAAACATTATGATGAATTCTGATTAAATCAATTCAGATGAGATTTATCTTCAAATCTTGCAACAGTATGAAGAAATAGGTAGACAGACTGAGGACTATACGGGTACTCTGAAGATAATAAAAACAAAGAGAAGTAGTACATCATATAAAGTGAGTGCCATATGGAGGGTTTACCCAAAAACATTGCCAAAAATCTCATTAAGAGGTGTGGAGGGCTTTTGTTCAACTGAGTGGAAAGAATAGCCATACCAATGAAAGGATGGACCCATTCACACATCAAATCACTATTTTGTCAGGAATAAGAATACATTTAATATCAAAGCAGGATATCTTTTATCTGTGGTACAGAGATGTCTGGTCTTAAAACACTAAGAAGCTATGTTTGGCACTGACAGAAATGTTTATGAAGCTCCAAAGGTAATCCTGTGAATTACTAATCAGCAGTTTATATTATTGTCTCAAATATAGAAGTCTGGAACTAAAAAAAAATTGCTTTAACGTCATTTAAACAAGCTATGCCAGTGTTATCTTGCTGTATCTATGTTTAACACAACAAATGGAAGAATGAATGTATCAAGATTAATAATTATTTAAACAAGCTGAAAAGCATTTATATGGAATGCATTATGATGCTACCCCACCATTTGGTAGATCTTCTCAATTGAACGGATAATTATTATCTAACAATAAACAACTGGATAATTATGAATTGCAGATGTGAAGATAGCTACTTATAGTTGGAATTACTAAATTAATTTCTTACAGTCAATCCAGCCCAGAGCTACACCTGTTCTGATAACAAAAGAAAGAATTAGTAAGAGAAATCCAGTATGTTGTTTGTCACTTAGGTCTCTGAATATTAACAGTTTAGCTTTCCTGATCACATTGTACAACCTATTTGTTGGTGTTTCTCTATGCAACTAACCGACAGGACCAACGTTCAGAAAAAGGATGTAGAAAGTACTCAAATCCCTTTCTATCATGTAATTAGATTAGAAGAATTTTGCATTTTAATTTTAAGTGACTTGATAAAGATAGTTACACTTAAAGTGTGTATGATATCCCTGAGAGAAATGATTATTTCTCTCATATTAATAGCCAATTAACACATGTGGGGGTGGGGAGAGAAGGAATCCAGGTTTTTTTGCTTTTCTATTTCCTCATTCAAAGTTCAGACTTTCCAGGGCATTTCTGATCCTGCCCAAAGAATTTACCCCACCCAAACTGCCTTATCTAGGTGGAATTCTTATCCTACCATTGTTCATAGATAGTAGAGGATAGATTCTTTTGTGTAGATCAAGGCTTCTTAAACTTTTTCTAAAGTCAAGTCCCCAGCTCTTCATTAGAATAAACCCATCTCATTATAACATGCATCCTCTCATTAGTTGTTAACCAATCATAGTTGATTTCTGGTCATTGGGAACACCCATTCTTCCAAGGATATATAAATGTCAAGTGGCCAACATGATTTGTCTTTGGTTTACAAAAGAAAGACAAATGACCATCACTTTATTAATGATCTGATAGCCATAATTAATAAAATTGTTATTAATCACCCAGAAATTATGTCTCTCAGACTTTTCAATACAATCATATCCCTAATTAAAGCCAGCTATGAGAAAATTTCACAAAGAAGTTAAGCCTGAAGCAAACATATGTTATGATAAACTGCTGGCCTAATGCTCATTCTTAGCGGTCATTATAAACTTTTCCATCTCTAAAGATAGCATTTCTGTCCCCAAAACAATTCATTAAATGTTTTTTAAAAATCACTTTACCTGAGATGACTGATGGTAAAATGGGTTAGTAGGTTTCTGCCCACAGAGAGCAGATGCTGATGAGGTGCTAGACACAGACTCTGGCTGGGAAACAGAAGTTACGAAACCACTAGTAAATACTAGTAAATAGACATGCAGTTCACACAGAATCCGTAATGAGGAAGTTTAGCTTTAAGTGGTGCACACGGATACAGAAAGCCTCATTCACATGTGATCATAGGTTTTGATTAGCACAGAAGTTCATTTAGAGATTAGAATTTTGAAAGTACAATGCTCTCTCTTGATTGTTAAGATATTATCTTTGGTAATCACTGAATGTTCCATTTATCTATTACCATGCTGCTTTTCTCTTTAACGAGTTTTCCTTAAATCCTTTGTGACCATAGCATGAATCAGACCTCTAGGGCCACCAATACACCTTGCTGATAGCTCTTTCAATAGGAATTTTCAAGTTTGTATAAATCAAACTAGAAATGATTTCCACATGGATTCTGCATCAAAAATTAAAAAAAAACTGCAACAAGTCTGTTGGAGATTTCAAGAATTACTGTCTTTGCTTGCATAGACAATTTGACCCTTCATTAAACTCTAAATCAAGGAAGATTTTCAAATGCCTCTTCTACACTTTGCAGATGCTTACCCTCGTTCTGTTTATAATGCTCTGTACCATAAAGAGTACAGGGTTGCCTGCTTTCCGTATGGCTTCCACAGCTTGTTCATGGCTTGCGTCTCTGAGGTCCATTCCATCCACCTGCAATGGAAGGCCTCAGCTTAACATTATAAGAAGCTAAAGTGAAATGGAGCATTTTGTAGGTCTCAGGAGTGAGAATCATTTACCAGGAGGGCATCAGGAATATCTGTTCAAAGCTTTGAAAGAATTTTGGCATTTTGGCAAGCTCTAAAACCAGCTTTGTTGAGAATTCAGCTGGGTCAGTGCATTTGCCATAAGAAATTCAGGACTTCCAGTAAACCTGATTGACAAAAAGGAACTGAGAATTCTCTATTTTTATTAATATTGCTAAGTTGTTTCTTAAATAATGAACACATCATTATCATTTAAGAAATGATGTAAAGAAATTCAACAGTTATATAACTTTTGTTGTGAAAATCTTTTAACTTTTTTCTTTACCACTTAAAGATCGCTAAATATGATACTTCTTGTGGAGTAATAAAGATTATTTCCCCTTCTTTTTTCAGCCATTCTCTTTTTCTTATTCAATGTACAGTTCCTCTGATAAAGAAAAACCTATTCTGGTGCCCTGGAATACTCAATATTATGCAGTACGGTTAGTTTTGCAAAAAGAGATTTTTTGCAATAGACATGATAGGTGCGGGAAGCCAAGAAATGTGCTTATTTGTTAGTAATTTTTACACAAATAGCCTTAAAATAAAAGTTAAAATTATATTTTATCTAATATAACTGCCTATCTGAATCATAATCAAATGACAGAAAATAGAGAAAATAAAAAGAAACAGTCCAAAGGCCAAATGCTAATCCTGGTGGGAAAATAAAGAGAATTGTATTCATGGTTTCATCATCTCCAGTGATTACAGTTGTGGTATATGCTAAGTCCAAACAGCAAAGTCAAGGTCAACAGGGGCAATTCTGGAAAGGAAAGAAACATGAGCCATATGCATTAAATATCATTATCTTTAGAATGTGAATCATCTCCATTCACACTAGAAAATTTCTGCCAGTAAAATGGTCTGATTACTTAATTGTGCATCTTTCAGTAAACATTAACAAGTCTTCAACTTTTTGTAGAACTCCCATTCTTAATAGATCAGGATTTCTTAACAGAGACATGTCACTGTCATGTTTAAGCATGTGAAAGTAACTTATTCTCTAACTGCAAGGGAGTAATGTGACTCCCTGTTCAACTGAGAATGTTTATTCACACAATATTGTGCAAAAATGGAAGGTTGCTCCCCTCTGAGGGAGAAGTTTTCAATATGTTGTCCTCTCTGGTGGGGTCAAGGACATTTACTGTAAAGAATACATAGAAGAAATTGCTTTGTGATAGTGCAAGAAAGAAAAAGTATATTCTTAGACTCCTAAGACTTTTTTGAAACATGATCAATAAGCTTTCTGATGATAGTTGGGTGACTATGAGTTACTGAGAAAGGAAGTATCATCAAATAGAAAAGCCCACCATTCTCCAATCTGCATGATCACAAAATTTAAAAAAGAAAAGAAAAGAAAGAGAGCTATCTATCCTCTTTTCCAGATAGAGGATCACAGGATCAATGACTTACACAAGATCAAACAACTAGGATGTTTAGAAGTGGATCTTTCTAACTCTGAGGCTGACTCTTTATCAATCACAGTAGCTTACCTATCACAACTTAGGGTCTTAAGAGTTTACTTTATTACTGGGAAGTCAAATATTTGCCCAGGATCATGCAGCCATTAAACGTCATATATTCACCTTGAATTCAGGTTGTCCTGAGACTGATGTTACCTGATTCTCTCTCTTGAGGATAATTTAAATTTATGTCTATATGTATGAAATATACATTTATGAAAGGCAGTGTTGCATAGTGGGTAGAATTATAGACTTGGAGTCAGAAAAACACAGATACAATATCTTGCCTCTGACCCTTATTATCCAAGTGACTGGAAACCAGCCATACTAACTTCTCAGTGGTTAAAGCAACTCCCTAGGGCTTATCTACTAAATAAGTGGCTGTTAGATTAGTTGCTATCCTTGGAGTTGTCCATACTGACAAAATCACACATCCTGGCATACACACTTATGTATGTATGTATATATATATATATATATATATATATATATATATATATATACATATACATACACTTATGTATGTATGTATATATATATAGATAGATAGATAGATATCTATATCTATATCTATCTATCTATCTATATATATATATATATATATATATAAACATGGATATGTTTGCATATGATAAATTAAAGCTTTTGGCAACTATATAAAACATGGATGATGAAAAAATTTTCCTCTGGGGTACAAGGGGAATTAAAAGATGTCACAGGAATGATCCACTAAGAAAAGCCAAAAACAATCAAATTAACCTGCAAGAGAAAAGTGATAATAAAATTTTCCTTCCTTTATACAAAAAGTTTGTTCATTTAAAATCAACAAATTTATAATTCTGTTTGTAAAGAGCTTTGTAAGCAAAACCAATACATACATATATATATATATATTTTTTTTTTCCTTCACGAAGTTCACGAATGAGTCTCCTATGAATAAAAACATCACCAAATACATATACACATATATTTTTAAGGTGTAGAGGAAATTTTCTCATTGACTCAGACTGGGCTCCACTACAATGTTTGAAAAATAGTGAAATTTTTTTTCCCTTAGAAAAGAAAATAAAATATTCAGTGCAGGAAAATGACATTGTAGGATACCTCTACTATTCTATCTCCCGTTTTTAAGGTTCCATTTTTGCCAGCTGGACTATCTTCCAGAACATGCTTGATGAAGATACCCCTCATCACTTCACCGTTGCTTAGCCGACTTCCCATCCCACGTCCACCAACAATGCTGATGCCCAGGGATTTGTTTGGTTCTCTCCATAGCTCGACCCTACCAAAAACAAAAAGAAGCAAAGTTTCTATATTCATATTAGTTTTGCAAGAGTCACTTGTCCAACTTCCTGAAACAATAATTTATGTGTAATCAGTTCTTTCTTTTCCTAAATATTTATATCCTATGTCTGGCAAATATTCTGAACTTGTTTACAAAGATTTGCAAATATATGCAAGGAACATATTTGTTTCCACTAAAGTTTTACCCTAATGCCTCAGTGGAGTATGGGAGGGAGCCCTGGTTTCTCAAAGGCTACATCAGCAAAGCATAATTTTGAGTACTTCCTAACAGCCTAGAAAGACTTTGAAAATAGGTTTGGCAAAGAGTTTTGTCTTTCATCTGAGGACCAGCCCAGTAAAGTCAGGAGAATCTCATTATTAGGTTAATGCTGAAGGTGATGAAATTCTCCGCCAAAGCAGCTAGCTCACTCAGGTGTAGAAAGCTGTGAGCAGTATTTGTGGAAGGAATACATCCATCTATCAGTATAGCAATGGGGGTCACATACAGTAAATGAAATTGCCCACAAAAGCAAATTTTGTGTGTGTGGGAGGCCATTTGTAGGAGTGTTGGGGGAGGGAACAGGGAAGTGAAGAGAGAAGCATCAAATAGGCAGACTTAATGAGGAGCTAGAAGAACAGCCAAAATAATGTAAGAGAACAGTTGAGTGCAAAGAAAAAGCCTTCCACTTACACCTGTATACAGGTTTGAATATGAGGGAAATGGTGTGAAGTGTGAGGTTGGCTAAGAAGAGTTACAACTTATCTAGGTTGGCAAACCCTATGTTATAATAAAATAACTCCTATTTCTACAGCACTTGAAGGTTGACAAAGGGCTTACCTCACAAAGAGGTGAGGTCTGTAGTGGGACTAATATCATATTCATTTTACAGTTGAGAAAAACTCCTTTGTTCAGGGATGATTCAGCTGCTGGGTTTCACTCAAGGCTCTTTTCTAACTCCTCTTTTTTCACTCTAGCCTCTTGGTTATCTCAGCTGCTGCTTCGAGTTTAATTAAAATCTCATTGCAGATAATTCAAAAATCTATATATCAAGATTTAATCTCTCTTCTGAACTCTATTCCTAAACCTCCAACTGCCTGCTACCTGCAGATGAAACAACAGCATCCCAAAATTTCCCATGTTTCAAATGTAACTCAGCACCTTTCCCCCAAACCTACCCATTTTCTAAACCTCTAATTTTTTTTGCAGAGGTCCCCACACTGCCAGTCCCCTGGCTCTGTAACCTTGGAGTCATCTTTGATCCTTTCCTCTTCTTTTCTCTACTATATTCAATTCTACCTCTCCTCCCATATCCCTATCCTTTCTAACCACAAAGGCATCATTCTAGTTCAGGTCCTTAATCTTGTGTATATTCTTCAACAGCTGTCTCTTCTTCCATCTTTTGTACATGTCTTTTACAAATTCAGTTTGAGTTCCTTCTGTTGCTTTATAAACTTTTTTTTTCCTTTCCTATTGTAAATACTTATTTTTGTATCCTCAAAATTTCATTCTCAATAACTTTTCATCCTTCTCAGGCTGATTTCCCCTGCAGAATTTTAGGCCATGGTATCCTATCTATATTTCTCTGAAACCTTTGAAATATTTCCCCCCCAAAACAAAAATGCATGTCAGAAAAGGCCTGCTTTCCTTTTTTTCTATATCACAAATTCTAAGACAGATGGCCACTTGCCCACAAGTTTCCAATCATTTTTACCCCAGTAACCACTTCCTCCCTCTTAGGAATGAGTTCCAGAATTACATTTCTTCTCTACTTTCTGAAGGATAAAATTATCACTGAAACAAATGAAATAATTGGTTTCTCTGTTCTGGGCAGAGAGAGCCCTAACAGATGTCTGGATAAATGAAGTTTCCCATCAACTACTGTATCAAAATCTCTATATCAGAACTGTGGTTCCCAAACTCCTCATCTATTTCCCACCTGTCCAGGTGATCTTTACTCTATTTCAACAGTACTATAATTTCTGCTTCTCCCTCCATTGATTTCTTCCCAAGTACTTTCCACCATGCTTCATATTTCCATGGGCATATTTTCTAAATACACAACACTACCTGCTAACTACCGTTATCTGTTCTTGATCTCTCCTCGTGGTATCTCCTTTTTGATGAAGTCCCACTCATTCCTGAAATCCCAGCTCAAAGGCCCCTTAAGAAAACTTTCCCAAATTCTCTTCTACCCACTACTTTCCCCTATGACCTTGCATAACACTTACTTTTATGCCTTTCTGATGCATTTATCAAGTAGCAATGCATATCACACCTGGCTGTGTTTGCACACAAGATATAACTCCTACTAAACTATAAGGTTCATGATGTCTCTAAAACTTTTCTATCTCCTCTTAATATAACAACATGCCCAAGCACAGCCTTCTGAACATAATAACCACTAAACAAAAGTAGCAGTCATCCCTGACTCTTCCTTCCCTCTAACCCCAAATATCCTATCTTTTTACCAAGACCTGTTATCTCTCATATGTGCTCCCTTTTCTCCTCTAACACTGCTACCACTGTAGTGCAGGCCCTCATTACCCCATACTTGGACTACTGCAATAGCCTGCTGACCTATCTGCTTATTTCAAGTCTGTCTCCCATCCAGTCTCACCTAGCAAAGTGATTTTCTTAAAGCATAAGACTGATCATGTCATCCTCTCCACCTCCCTTTCTCAATAAACTCTAATGGCTCCCTATTATCTTCAGGATCAAATATAAAATCTTCTGTTTGGCATTCAAAGTCTTTCATAACCTAGCCTCCCCTCCTCCGCTATTCCAGTCTGTTTATACCTTACTACCCTCACATAATCCACAATCCAGTGACATTGTCCTCCTTGATATTTCTTGAACAAAATTCTCCATCTTGAGACTGGGCATTTTCAATTGTCCCCCATGCCTGGAATGTTCTCCCTCTTCATCCCCACTTCCTAACTTCCTTCAAGCCCAGATAAAATCACACCTTCATTAGAAACTTTTCCCAATTTTCCTTAATCTTAATGCTTTCCTTCTGTTAATTATTCCTAAACATATATATGTATGTGTGTGTGTATGTATATATATATGTATATATATATATATAATGAATATAGTTCATACATAGTTGTTCGTATGCCTTCTCCCTTAGATTATGAGCTTCTCGAGGGAAGTGACTGTATTTTGCTTTTTTTTTTTAATCCCCAGTGCTTAGGCAGTGCCTAGAACATAGTAGGTAGGCACATGACAAATGTTTATTGACTGAATGATCCATAGTTTTTATTATAATTATTTGTTTCTTATCCTTTTATACCAATCATGGTGCTCTACCAGCTCTATAGTAAGTATACATAGAATGAATGGAATGGAAGAATGAAAGAAGGACTGCACCTTTGTGGCACATTGTTACATATTTAATGTGCTTTTGTTTACAAAACTGTACCAGCTAAACCACTGGACATCAAAGTACTAAAGTGTGCGTACGAGAAAATACCATCATACTTAAGTAATCTGAAATCATACAAGGACTCTTTTTTCCCCCCAATTTATGAAATGAAGGCATTTTCTATTGTAGTGAAGAAACCTAAAGAGCATGCTGCCCAGATCCGTAAGTATACATCCCAAAATCCCTACAAAGACTTTTCTCAACCAGAAACTCACCTCCTTGGCTGACTCCAGTTACTACTGTAGGCTGCATTCTGAAGCTCGCTTTCTTCTCCCTCTCCTTCTTCACGTTCTGGGAGTTCTGGGATTTCCCTGTGTAAGAGCGATGTACTGAATACTTTAAAATACTTGTAAAAACACCCACAGATTTCTTACCTGCTATTTTATCTGTTTCAGCATGAGCATAAAGCCTTCAGAACAACTACTTGTTTCAGCACTGTGAAGTTCCTACTCACTCAACTCCTCTGCTACATGATTGTAGTCAAAAGCAAGAGATGATGATAAAAACCTTTTGTCATAAGCTTAGTGAAAAGATATAGAATAAATCTCTAAGACCAGTGTTCTTATTCTGGGTCTATGAACTTGTTTGTTTGCTTTAAAAATATTTTTTGATAACTGTATTTCAATAAAGTTGGTTGCCTTTATTCGGTATAAAAATATTCTGGGCAGCTAGGTGGTGCAGTGGATAGAGCACCGGTCCTGAATTCAGGAGAACCTGAGTTCAAATGTGACCTCAGACACATAACACTAGCTGTGTGACCCTAGGGAAGTCACTTAACCCCACTGCCTAGCCCCCCCCCAAAAAAAATTTATTCCAAGAAGTGGTCCATAGTTTTCACTAGACTACCAAAGGCATTCATGATGCAACAAAGGTTAAAAACCCCTACTCTAAGAATAAATATAGAGTCTGCAAAAATCTGTTTCCCTCCTACTACAATGGAAAAATATCATCTGAGTTTTAAAGGCAAAATAATTTCTTCATTCCTTCATTTATTCAGCAAATACTTACTTAGAAAAAAGCACAGTGCTTGGCACTCTGGGAGGTGGGGACACAAAAATATGCAAAGCATTCTTCCTGTTCTCAAGTAGCTTACCATCTATAAATCAATAGTTTCAAGCTAATCATTCCCATGAGTTGATTCAACAAAAGCTTTGGGAGAAATAAAAAAAAACCAAGAGCTTCAAATGCAAGTGTTTTTCCTTTAACTATAAGAGAAAAACAGAATATGTTTATGGCACAGCTGTGGCCCATCTGGAGTTACCAGGCACATGCTACACTTCCTTACATAGGAAGCTTATTAGAATACAGACTGTGTTTGGATTTTCCCCCTTTCCATGTCTGCTGCAATTTTGCTTTTACCAAATGCTAACTATATAAGAAAATATATCTGGATTTCTGATTGGCAGTAAGTACAGCAGATACCAGCAAAGGAACACTTTTTTTTCTAAAGGGAAAACATAGCCTATGTCATTTTAAAATCACATTTAAAGCTCACTGAAATAAAGTGTACCAGGGGATTATTTACAGTAGCTGGAATCCTACTGAAAAACAGTATAGACTCAAAATGACCCATTTCTGCAGGTGCACTGAGCTTTCCCATATTCTGATGCTCAAAGAAGTCAGTGCAGAGTAAAACAAAGTTGCAGCAATAGAATGGCATAGTGGAAACAACACTGGACTGAATATCAGAAAATCCAGGTCTACCATTTAGTACCTGTAGTACCTCAAGCAAATTACTTAATCATTTTGGGTTTCAGTCTCCCCATCCATCAAATGGACAGGTTGGAATTGATCAGGAGTCCTTAACTTGAGGTCTGTGAACTTGATTTTTAAAATATGTGTGTGTATATACACATGTATATACATATATACATATATATGTGTGCGTATATATACATATATACACACATATACATATATACATATATATATACATATGTATATATGTATATGTATATGTATGTATTAGGCAATTGGAGTTAAGTGACTTGCCCAGGGTCACACAGTCAGAAAGTCTGAGGCCAGATTTGAACTCAGGTCTTCCTGACTTCAGGGCCGGTGCTCTGTCCCCTGAGCCAACTCGCTGCCCCTAAAATATATATATTTTGACAATGTGTTTCCATATAATAAAATTCCTTTAAAGTCCTATAAATTTTACCTAAAACATTTAAAAACATTATTCTGAGAAGGGATCTATAGACTTCACCAGACTGCCTGAGGGGTCTATAACACAAAAAAAGGTAAAAAAAATCCCTGGTCGAATTGGTTTTTAAGTACCACTCAAGCTCTGATATTATTTGAATCTATAAAAGGACATAATCAGAATCAATCACTTAAATATCTGGTTAAAATCTAATGATATAGTGGCAAGTAGGGGGCATAGTGGACAGAGCACCAGCCCTGGAGTCAGGAGGACCTGAGTTCAAATCCAGCCTCAGACACACTCACTAGCTGTGTGCCTCTAGGCAAGTCATTTAACTCCAATAGCCTCACCAAAACAAACAAACAAACAAACAAATAAACAAGCAAACTAATGATACAAAACTTATATAAAGACTTTTATAAAACAAAAATAACTAGTGTTATGAAACATGGAACAAAAAAGTTTTAAAAGAGGAAAAACTTGCCTAATCTATTCTGGAATTAATATCTTGTAAAAAGTATATATTTAGATTTTCTTTTTGTTTAATATAGAGTATTGTAAAGTTTTGGTGTAATGATTTTTTTCCAGATTTGTTATTTAGCAAATAGTTACAGAAGTTATTTTTATTCTTTTAGATTTCTCATAAAATGAGACTGCTTGTATGTTAATGTATAAAGAAAATTTAAACAAGGTTATTTTCAATTTGAAAATTTTGCGTAGTTAAAAAAATGCTTCTGTATTCCTCATTGGTATGGTGCTACTGCAAAACTTTAGGGCAGCATATTATATTTAGCTAAACTATTCAGTTAATTAAGAAATCCATAAATCTTTTATTCTCAATGACATTTGTAATTGTAAATAGATTAACCTATAAAAGTTGGTATTTTCTAAAAATCTTATCTAATAAACAGAAATATTCCCTAACATAAAAAAGAAATAGTTTATGAAAAAAGGAGCCTCATGAAGCTTTCTATTTTACCAGCAGCAAATAGGTTTTACCTTAGAGTAGCAACCAAAACAGTTGATTATGTTATTAAACAATGTATTATATTTTTTATTGCTGGTACTCTTCGGGTTCATAGTATACTTTCCATGTGTTTCTATATTTTCTAGATTAAACATTTCCTTAGAATCAGGACTCTTGAAAAGAATGAGGTTGCCAAGTAAAAGAGTGTTAAGCAAGAATAGGAGGCCAAGGAAAGAGCACTGGTGCATAAGCACTATTTGGGGGCATGGGGTGGCTGCTTGAGAGCCTCTATGTCAACGGCATTATACAAAAGTTTAGTTATTCAGTTGTGTCTGACCCTTCATGACTCTGTTTGGGGTTTTCTCATCACGGATACTGAAATGGTTTGTCATTTCCTTTTCCAGATCATTTTACAGAAGAAGAAATTGAGGCACACAAGGTTAAGTGACTTGCCTAGGGTCACACAGCTAGTAAATATCTTGAGGTCATATTTGAACTCAGGAAGATTAGTCTTCCTGACTTCAGGCCTGGCACTCTATCCACTGCACCACCTAACTGTCCACGCAGAAGTTTACAGAATTCTAATAACCTACTTAGAGATTACAGAAGCAACTTTTAGAATAGCTGCTCACATTTGGAAACTATGAAAGGGCTCATTCTTCCAGCTCTGTCCCTTGCACATAACTAAGCTCTAGGACTTGAATGCTAGCCGAGAAATAATTTTGCACAGACATGAGTGGAAATTAGCACGTTCTATTTCCCCCTGCCCCTTCTTTCCAGTTCATTATGTCTCCTCAAAATCCTATTCTTGCTATTCCATAAGCAAAAAGCTGAGCTCAGCCATGGTCTTCCAGTTTTGACAAACCCTTTTGGGGGCAGTTACTAGAGAGTATTTTGATTACCTGGCAGGATAAGATGAAAACATATCAAGCGACATTGTTTCCCCAGACTGGTGTCCTAAATTTGCTCTGTACTCTTCCAAAAGCTCTGCAGGAACATAGGTAACCCTAGAAAATAAGAGATTACATAAAAGTAAAAAGGGATATCAAAGATTAGCAGAATGTTAAGGAAAAAATAAGAGAAGCTTCCAAAAGGGCAAAAATTCAATGTTGCTATTCTTTAGTCATGTTCTTAGAAAAGTTTTTTCTTCTATGTAAAAAAAGATCTTTCTGAGTGTAATATACTAAAACAAACCAAATTAGGAAGGAAGCCTCTGAAAATCTATGTGTTATTTGTAATTCAAGTAAACAATTTTTTTTTAAATGGCTGTCACCCACGCTTTGAATTCATGTTTTCCTCATTTCTGCCTATTAGAAACTATTTCTTGATCTGTTCTAGTAAGCTTTCCCTGAGCAATTTCACCTTCCTCAAATTTACCAACTTCATTTTGTCTGGCTTTTTGCGTGCCTTTATCACATTCTAGTTGGTGTAAATGTAGTGCACTACACCACAATTAGACTGCAATGGAAGGCGCTTATCATTATTATTTTCATCTTTGGTATCTCCAGTACTGAGCAGAGTCAGGCACTTTCAAGTAGTTTAAAAAATGTGTGTTGAACAGAGCTGAATTAGTAGCATGGGCACATGAAATGATGCCCTAGAAAAAGTTGTTTACTATCATGGCCTCCAAGTGAAGGCAAATGTCAACTTTCTACAATTTGGCTTGGGTCCTCATTCAACTCAAAATGATTTATCCAATCACCTCTTAGTTGATGAACATGATGGTTTTCTTTTCATATTTCTTAATTTTTTGTCAACAATTAACAATGCTGAACACTCTCTCCTCTCTCACCTGGGATATAATTTTTATTTTGCTGCTCTCTCTCAGTTCTCCCACTTATCTGATTATACCTCAATCTCCTCTGATAGCTTATCAGCCACATCATGCCCCCAAATAGCGGTTATACCCCAGTGCTCTTTCCTTGGACTCCTATTCTTGCTCAACACTCTTTTACTTGGTAACCTCATCAGCTCTCAAGGATATGATGATCATCTCTATGCAAATGACTACCAGATCTATATATCCAGCCCTAGACCTTCTCTTGAGCTATAGCCCTGCATCCAACTACCTATTAAACACTTTTAATTAGATGTCCTATAGGTATCTCACGTCCAAATGAGAATCCATTATCTTTTCTCCAAAATTCACTCTTCTATCAAACTTCCCTATTTCTGTCAATAGTACCACTTAAATTTGCATCCATAGAGTCCTCACTGACTCCTCACTCTCCCTTATCCCACATATCCAATCGATTCCCAAATCTTACTGTTTCTACCTCCACAACATTCCTAAAGTGTAGCCCCTTCTTTCCACTGATACATCCACTGCCTGAGTTGAAATCCTCAAAAGCTCTCACCTGGACTAAATCCTCCTAATTTATTCTCCCTGACTCATCTTGCCCTCTTTATTCCATCTTCCACACAGGCGACAAAATGATTTTCCTAAAGTACAGGTCTGACCATGTTATTCCTTTTTAAAAAATTTTTTTGATTTTATTTTTAACTTATACAATAAAACAAGCATTTCCATAACATAATAAGAAAAAGATGACTATACAAAAAACTGCAAATCTTTATTAATAAATTCCAATTATTCTTTACTATTCTAAGGTCAAATGTCAACTCCTCTGGTTGACTTCATTTAAGGCCATTCCCAATCTGGACTCAATCTCCATTTCTAGTTGTATTACGTATCATTTTCCTTCATGTACCTTACGTTCTAGTCAAACTGGCCTTCTTACTCTTTCAAATACCACCCTCCATTTCTATCACATAAGCTGTGTCACATACCTAGAATGTCCTATATTCTACCTCACCTTGGCTTCATATAATCCTTAGAATAATTCAGGACTCAGCTCTAGGAACGCTTTCACAATAAACAAACTACTAGTATCTTCCTGGCCTAAATCTAATTTGTATATACCTATATATGCACATGCAATCTCTCTGATAGAATGTAAGATCCTTAAGGGCAGGGACTGTTTCATTTATGTCTTTGAATATCCAGTACAGTGCATAGTACATAGAACACATTTTATAAATGCTTATTGATTGAATGTCCTTTGGGTAGCATTAGTTTTCATTTTGTATTACAGGAATATAAGCAGCCAAATTTTTCCATTGAAAGTTCACAGGAAACCATGATAGTAGTAGGTGATTAATAAATGTTATGGCAGTTCCCAAATGATAATAAGGCTCACAATGATTTCTTGGTATTGGAAATACATGTAAAGCATCAAACTCCTCTGAATGTGTCTAGGTTCCAGCATACACCAAATTTAATAGCCCATTGCATTAGCTTTGCCTATCCAGGGGCTACTTTTATTCTTTCTGTATATCTAAACCAGTCACTTCAATTAGCAAGCACTATGAAGGACCACCTAAAAGCCCCACTAAGTGGTGAGCCTCAAACTCCGAAATATGACATCAAATTGTTTAAACTATGTCAAAAATATCTCTTTCACCTTCACCATCTTCCTCTAATGATATTTAGAAAAAGTTAACTTGACATTTAAAGTACAAGCATTCATTTGTTCATTCACTAAATGCTCCTGGAGTAACCACTACACTGTGCTAGGTATCGCCTCCTATCGCTTTGTGGATTGCTCAGTATCCCACTGTGGGGAAAGTATTTGGCTTTTACCCCATTATGTTATTTAGTGAACCATGCTTTGGGCTCCCTAGTTAGAACTTGAGCTATAGATCAATGAGTAATGGGGCAAGTTAAATTTATTAAATGAGATCAAGTCTGTGTATTCGTGTAACTAAAGTGTACTTATGGACCAACAACTGTATAATACAGAGATTACAAATAATGTGAAAAATACCTACAAAATCAACACGAGGGTGATATTTACATGAAGATTCAGTATTTTCTGGCAGGACTGAGGATTATCTTTTTATGCTACTCAAGTGACCTAATTTATCAATTGAGGAAGTTATATGGCTTTATGTGGGGGTCTCTCTATCCCCTTTCACCCTTCAATGCCCATCACTATGTCCTGTTAATTAGCTTTCTATCCCAAATCACCAACGTAACATGTAGGTATACTCTTACCGAAGATACATCAACCTTATAGAACCTCTCCCTTTGTATACATTTTTGCCAGGTGACGTAATTAGCCAATGAAAGAGGAAATAATTTATTGGATTTAGTTTCAACCTGGAATTCAGGAGACCTAAAAGATTCTGGACCCAAAATTAATAACTGTTTGATCTTGGGTATGGCAATTAATTGTCTTATGGTATTTTAAGCAGGTTTGCTATATGCTAGACAAATGAAAGAGTAAGGAAAGGGCAGTACACTCCTATGGTCCAAATATGGAGTCCAATAATATAGAGACCAGGCTATGTTAGTATCACAGTATGTGCAGGTTGATAACATTCAAGGGACTAAGATGAGTGGGGATGTTATTCTATAGGCAAAGATTGAAGAAGGGAAGTAAAGGTATAAGAAGTAAGATGGAGGGAGTGCTGGATTATTTCTTTAACTTGACCTAACTCCCCAGAGCATTAGTCTTTCATGGAGGTCCCAGGTCCCATCCTGCAATGACCTATCTGAATGTCCCCGGGTTGTATCTTCTTTTGCTCCACCTGACTAGCAAGGCCATGGATTCTGACATTAACGTCTACATTCATCTAATCTTCAAAATGGTAATGAAGAGATAGACATTTGCCTCACAAAAGTGGTTTATGAAGCAATAAGAAAGTACTGAAACTCTTCCGAAGAAATAATAAAAATCTAAATTGTAAGCCCTGTAAAGGCAGAGTTTCTATCTCCCCCCAAATCTAGCACATTGTATTATGTAATTCTTCCCCACCCCATCCCCCAACACCTTTGGTGGGGGAAGGAGACAGGCAGTTCAGACCAGTGACTGCTTAAGTTTGGGGAACTCCCAATATGGAATTGCTCTCAAAACAAGATTTGAAATTCATTTATAATTAGAATCTGAGAGATTTGCCTAAGCCATCAAGAGTATAAGTGATTGAGGCAGCTAGGAGATGCAGTGAATAAAGTACTGGCCCTGAGTTCAGGAGGACCTGAGTTCAAATCCAACCCCAGACACATAACACTTACTACCTGTGTGACCCTGAGCAAGTCACTTGACCCCATTGCTTAGGCCCCCCCTCAAATAAAAGAGCATAAGTGATTTGCCCATAGCCACATAGTTAGTTTATCAGAGGCACTTTCTAGCCTCACTCCATCATGTTGCCTCTCTTTATGGTATATTTGTTGAATGAACAAGTAAGTGAATAGGTGAATACCAGGAGAGTCCATGATGTTAAATATGGGGAAAATGAGTACTTAACTAAGGGCCTAAACTATGAGATAGGTGACAGTTTTAAAAATTTTGTCAACTATCCAAATCACAGTAAAAAAATGTTGAAGAAAAGTCTAGGAAAGTAATGAGGAAAGAACATGAGAACCCAATGGAGAGAAAACAAAACCCAGTGAAACATTTTTAATTTATGTATGAGATGTTAAGCATCCATACAAGTTCTGTGTAAAGAGCTTTGTTCGAGATCCTTTTCTCATTTTCCTCCTTGGACCAATAAAAGCTCTCTACAGATGCCTGCCAGACAGAAACCTGAGGGGGGAAAGGCAGTTTCATAAGTATTTATCCAAGATTTATCGAAGAAGCAAGAACCAGCAACATCAACATCCCATAACACAAGGGTGCGTGCAGTGCAACGAGGGTACCGAACACACGCTTGGCCACACTGTCACACAAAACAACCTCTAAACCACCACCACCACCAACAACAACAACAAAAAAAACTGAAACTGTGTTATGTACCACATATGGAACACATTGAAGACAACTTATCTGATGGCCAGTGTTATATATATATATATATATATATATATATATATATATATATATATATATATTTATATATATACACACACTTAAAAATAAACTAACCTTCAGGAATACATGAAGGGGCAAAAAAAAAATAACACTAATAACAACATTAGTGCCGTAGAAAATGTGACACGGAGATTAATCCAGATACTGTGCTAGAACTCACGGGTAGCATTATCCTCTTGAAACAAGCTTGAAAGCTCAATGTTTAGAAAATACAATTTTTCAAATAGGCTAGCAATCATCAGTCTGAAAACGCAGCAACCATTTTTCAGCCCTGCTGGAATTTATGCTTAAAATGAATAAGTAAAAAAGCTGAAATGTATATGCTGAATCTATATCTGGATGCATCCCTGCTTTTGGATGTTATAAAAGCATGAAATGGTTTCACAGACAAATTGCAACATATAGCAATAATGAGCTTTTGAATCGCCAATACTCACACATAAAAGGGGGCCTGATCATCAGCAGGTGCTGGAGGAGATCTAGAATGTGAAGCATACGATGCAGCATCTTTTTACAATGGTGTTAAAAAATGTCAGTGTCTTGTGCTGAATGTGAGATGCATACATATGTAGTTAAAAGTGTGTGCTCCTGTTCTCCCCCCTCTTTCTACCTCCCTCCCATCTACACCTCCCCCGGAAAGCATCTGCTCTTTACTGATGTCTATAGCAGTGATTATTAACAAGCATGGAAAAATGTAACTGCAATCAATCTTTTATTCCTTGATCAGGAATTCATCCCACACTTTAGGTTAAGGCAGGTGAATTCTGATTCAGCTCAGTAATTATCTGGCAGATGTTACTAGCAGCTGCTGCTAAGCGCAAAACCCTGGCTATTATTACAGAAATATAAGGGCTCCTGGCAAGGTGGAGTGAGAAGTGAAACAGAACGCATTCTGGTGAGGCTACACATCTGCTTTTCCCCAGAAAATAATGAAACCTGGAACTTAAACTGGCTGTTCTTGAACTCTTAAAACTCAAATTCTCTACACACACATGCACACACACACACACACACACACACACACACACACAGAGTTGCCATGTATTGTGATTTTCAAGAATATCCAAGCATTTTCTCAATAAACATAGAATTTCCTGAAGCCAAGCAATTTTATATTTCATTTTGGGGGATGCCTTTTTTTCTGTTAGATCTCCTCTTAACAAGTTATCCATAATGCCATCATTCTCCCCCCAAAATCCCCCCCCTTGTAGAAGAAAGCCTAGTCTAAGCTCTCAACACAGTTGGAAATCTTAAACCAAAATTGAAACCTCAGCAGTCCAGAGGCTTCTTCTGCTCCTGTACACTCAAATACAAGGGAATAATGTTTCTTTTGGGAAGATAAAATGGGATCTGAGGGAAATTATGTCCTAGCTTCATGCAAGGCTGGTGACAAGGGAAGAACACTAAGGACAAATGCCCTCTCTCCCCAACACTTGTAATAGCTGACCAGAGGGGCTGAATGTTGTTTTTTGTTTGTTTGTTTTTATTTGCTTAGTATCCATTCTAGTGTGTGTTATAAGGAATATATGTATATATGTATATAATATATGTGTGTGTGTGTATATGTATGTATGTGTGTGTATATATGTATGTATGTAGATGTATATGTGTACATGTATATCTCCTTCCTGCTTTGTATTCTTTGCCTAGTGAGCCAACTCTACAACCATCCGAAGCAAGACTTGGTGGTAATGTTTCTATGATTCCCCCTCATAATATTAACACATTTTTTTCTTTATTTTTTTGGAAATTACTTGCCAGACTCCCTCTCTAGATGCTCTTGATGGTCAGAATAAAGCTATCTTCAACATGAAATTAACAAATTCTGGTGAGGAATTGAAGGAATAAGCAACAGAGAAGAGCAACAATTTCAATTGTGGAGAAGGAACAGAATTCACTTAAGTCGTTTTAAGTCACAAACAGGAGCTAAGGCATGTCATTTTAAATTATAGTCACAATATCCCTGTTATACAAGAGTTTACAAATATTGCAATGTACTAGAACACTGAGGATAGCAGGTACTGAGTTCCAATTCAGGTATCTCGGGAAAAGGGAAAGTGATCTGTATTAGCTCCAATAACAAAAAACTTAAAAATCATAATACAGCAAAAGAAAAGATTCAGTCATCACCTTATCCATAGACGATGCCAGAGATAAACTATATAAATTAATATTTTCCAATAAGTGGTTCTTGTCCCTTTATATCCCACTTATCTTTTCCAGAGAAATAAATGATAGTATAAAAGAACACTGAAAAGAAGACATGTTTTCTTTTGTTAGTGTGTACTTAGATAATATTTATAATTTTCAATTGTACTTAAATTGTGGTCAAGATTATTAAAGTTACATGACCTCATTTTAAAATCAAGGATTAATTAAGACATGTAAATATTGAAAAACCATTAATGAAGTTGGAAAAAGGGGCTAGGTTATATAATAATAACACTTCTTTTATATATAACCAGCAGAGTCAACCAGAAAAATGTCAGAAGATATATGTCTGCTTTTTATTGAAAGGAGAATGAAAACCAGATTGCAATTGTGGCTTTTCTTTATGAAAATTCAACATACTTTCTTTGTAGGAGAGCCAGTAATATAAAATGCATGTCAGTAGAATAACGTGCAGTGCACAAAACCAGTTACACAAAGCAATCCTAACTCCAGTTCCAGATGAACATTATGCTTGGGTGCTTATGAACATCAGATTTGGCTCTATTACATTCCCTATACAGGAATGGAAAGTGGAGGATCACAGGATTCTCAGCTATATGGAAAGGAGCCCGAGAGGTAAAGAAAGGTGACTTGAAAGCAGTGGCAAGTAGAAGACATGGGGTTCAAACTCAGATCCTCTGACTCCATGGCCCCTTGTTCATCACAACTAAACAAGGCTGCCTTATATGAAAGAAAACAATCACCTTAGAAATTGTGGCCATAAAACAATAAGACTGATTTTATAGGTGGCTTAAGGAAGCAGGTTCAGTACTTTACAGGTACATATTATATGACAAGTTTAGTGAAGTTAAAAAAGGTAACATTTTTGTCGTACTCTAAGAGCACTGATTATTTAGGAATATAAATCCAAAGCTAGAAAGTACATCACAGCTCCTCTAATTTAACCCCTCCATTTGATAGAGAAGGAAATAAGGCATGGGGATTTTTTTGCTTTCTTCATTCTGTTTTAAGTGACCTATAAAAGTCACACAGGAAATGGCAGAGCCAGGATATGATTAGGTCCCCAGACAAGGGTAGACTAGAGAGTTTCCATTGGGGAATACAGAGATTGTTCCAGACCTATTTTTGAGACTCTCTGGTCAAACTGTTTAGCTCTGAAACCTCCTTCAGCATTGTACAACCCGTGGGTGTCCTAATGCTCAATGCAGTTTTTCTTCTTAGTGCGCCCCTCACTTCTAGAATTTATTGAGGACCCAGAGTGTCCCCAAATCCTCCAATGATTTTCACAGTGACAGGCTTAGGGGTAGAAAGGTCACAGGAAACGTATCCTCAGCCTACAACTAAAGTTAAAGAAAAAACAGCAGCGTTTAAATATAAATAGCTATTGTTATGCAGCAAGAAAGAGAAATAATGCAAGGAATGTGATAGCTAACAAGAATTTTTTTATATGTTTTTTTTTGTTACAGGAAGAAATGAATGTGGTGTATGGAGTATCTAAGGAGAAATGACTGTAAAAACATGACAATACATTTAAAATATATAACTTATTAAGTGGTTAATGTTTAACAAATATTATGTTGATTTGAAAGATTTATAACAAAGAAAACTGAAAAGCACAAATTTAAATGATTTTAGATCCTCTAATTTTATAGGTCATATAGGCCTTAGTGTTTTTAATTTTTTCAAAACTCTTTCCCAACTATTACTTACTTTATGTCAGGTCCAATGAGAGAATGTCTCCTTAACATGGCTCTTGCCTGGGCGCTAGTTAGATTGGTGGTAGATTCTTCATTAATGGATAAGATACAATCCCCTACACCAATCCGGCCGTCGCGACTGATAGCTCCACCATGGATGATACTTCGAACTATCATTCCTGAGCCATCTTTGTTAGAACTTACCGTCATCCCTATGAAGAAACAGAAATAAAGGATTTTGTTGTGTACATAAGTTTTCAATATTTTAGGTAAATGGGGACTACAGATGACAGAACAAACTGGCTTTTGTTAGGTTATTTAAAGCCAAATGGTGAAAAAGAAAAGTCACCCAACTACCAGAGGAAGAAATTAATTTAATTTTTTTTTGAAAATTAAATCACTTTTAAATTAATTTAATTCCAAATTAAATTTATTCTAATTTAAAGTGAAGTTTACTGAAGATAAAATGTTCAATATTCACCATTTTAAAAACTAAATGGGTCTGTATCACAGAATAGATCAGTTAATAAAATATCCCATCCTCTGACTATCAAATCAAGAAAATAACACTGATCAAACATCATCCCCTAGGTTGTTTTCTGCCTATGTTGAGAAATTTTCACTGATCAAACTATACTATGACCAAAAGCAATATCCAAGTTCACCTGCAATGATATCTTCTACAGTAAGCCATTTCTGATTGGTTGACAAGAGTTTTCACAGGACTCAAATCTTCCCGTATTTACTCCTTTCTTTTTATTTTTAACACCCCTCCCCCTCAGTAGAATACAACTTTTTCAAAGGAAGGACTATTTTTGTTTTTATTTTAGAATAACCCTCCCCTAGTACAGTGTTTTGCATATAGAAGGTGCTTAATAAATGCTTAGTGAAGTTGATTGAATTGAAATGTGCAATACAAAAGCTGGTTGGGCTTATTGATGCAATGATAAAAATAACTCACATGAATGTAACTATTCAAGGTTTACAATTTTCTCAAAATAACATTGAGGCTTCCATCAGTAATGTATTCCCATTTTATAAAAAAAAAAAGACTGAGAGGGTTACAGTGACCGGCACAAGGTCATACTGATGGGGCACAAAGGATAGACCCCTAAAAGGCTCTGGACTTTCCCATGTGGCCCAGATCCCTGGATTTTGCCTGGGGCACCTGGCCCTTCTGGGTCCTCTTCTGTTACCTCCCAGTCACCCAAGTTATTGGTCACTCCTTGACCACTGCATATAGATATCCATCTTGCCCTCATCAAATTGCTCAGATTCCTTAAGAGTCTCACCCACCCGAACTGGTGTTTTAATAAACCTTGTCTCTGGATGAAAGAAGGCTTGGGTCAAATTCATTCAAGGCAGGACCTGCGTTGTTTGCCCTTGAATTTTAGGGTTCCCAGCACCCCTAGACCTCAACAATACTACCAAAGAGTAGGGGACCAGACTTCAAACATGAGTGCCCAGCACTCTTTCTCAGCTCTGTTACATACCACTGCTCTCCTAACTAGCTAAGAGTTCCATGGCTAGAGCCATGCAAAAGGTTAAAGCCAGCTAGCCTGCCTAGGAGTCAGACTAAAGACAGAAATCTGCCAACGAACAATTATTTATTAAGCACTTGTTTTATACCATGCATATGCTATATGCCAGAGATACAAAAAAACCCCAAAAGCAGTCCCTTTGCTCAAGGAGTTTACAATCTAATGGGGAAGACAACATGCGGATAAGTTGGTATGTGCAAGACACGTGCCCATTTGATGGAAGATAACCTTATTGGGGAAGGTTCTAGGAGCTGAGAGGACCAGGAAAGGCATCTTTGCTACATGTTCTAGTTTTCTTGTTTTATGCTGGGTTGGTTTTTTTTTTTGAATGAATCTTGAAAGAAGTTGGGGATTCTATATGAAGGAGAGAAGAGAGAACATTCTAGGCATGGTGCAGAGCAGTGACATCTCATGCGAGGAAGAGAAAGAAAGCCAAATAAGTTGGATTCTAGAGTATGTGGCCGGGAGGAAAGATAGAAGGCTGGAAAGGCAGAAAAGGACTAGGCTGTAAAGAGCTTTAAAAGGCAAATAAAAAAACTATATTTGATTCTGGAGGTAACAAGGAGCCCCTGGAGTTTACTGAGTAGGCTGAATGACATGGTCAGACCTATGCTTCAGGTAAATGACTCTGATGACTATGTGGAAGATAGATTGGGGAGGGGAGAGGTTTGAGACTGGGAGACTAATGATAAACCCAGCCAACTCAGTCCCAGCATGCGTATTATGAGTTATGCCAAGCAAGAATCTGGAGCTCAGTCATCATGACATTTTCAAACCCTGCCTCTAATTTAGCTGCTCATGAGGTTGTCAAGACATGTCAACCCTACAAATGATGGTCAATCATTGTTTTATCTAAGCCTTAATTCTCTTCCTCATTCCAGTCCATTTGATACATGACTGCCAAAGTAATTTTTCCTAAGCACAGATCTGAACCTGTGACTCCCCTACTTAACCAACTCCAGTAACTCCCTATTGCCTCTCAGATAAATATTTAAACTACTCCTACACTTCCTGGTGCCAGCATGCCTTTCTAGTTTTAATAGGTATTACTCCCATAATCTCTGAACTAGCCAAACTAGCCCCTCTCTTCTTCACACATGATATTCTAGCTCCCATCTCTATGCCTTTGCACTGGCTGTTCCCCATGATGGGATGCCCTTCCTCCTCATTTCCACCTAGCTTCCTTGGCTTCAAGTCCTAGCTAAAATCCCACCTTCTCTGAGAAGCCTTTCCCAATCTACCTTAATTCTGGTACCTTCCCTCTATTGATTAGCTCCAATTTATGCTGTAAATATCTTGTTTGTATATTGTTGTTTGCATGTTGTCTCATCCATTAGAATGTGAGTGCCTTGAAATCAGGGACTGTCATTTGTCTTTCTGTCATCAGTGATTAGCAAAGCACCTGATACATAGTAGGTGCTTAATACAGGTTTACTAACTGCATGCAAAAAAAAAAATATTTCATTAACCTGATTTCATCCATCTATATCCAAATTTTTCAAAAGCATAGTTTGTACTAATTAGCTGGACTTTCTCACTGCATAATTCTTTACTTTAACCTTTCACTTTCTCTGGATCTCACTTTCTCTGGACATGCATTTAGTAGTCTTTTTCCCCCTTCCTCCCATGCAGGTATCCAGGCTCAAAATCTCTGCAAATTATTGACTCCTATACAATGTATCTTTCTTTTTTTAAATGGTGGCACAGTGGATAGAGCTCCGGCCTTGGAGTCAAGAGGACTTGAGTTCAAATCCAGTCTCAGACACTTGACACTTACTAGTTGTGTGACCCTGGGCAAGTCACTTAATCCCAACTGCCTCACCGCCCAAAAAAAATTTATTTTTCATTTATGGAATAAAACACAGTACAAAAAAAAAAGATTGCATATGAAACTGCAAATCTACTATGCATAACTTGCTATTCCTTTCAAATATATAACAAAATTACCATGTAAATTTCTTTTTTTTTCCTTTTTTTTCTTCCCTCTTCTCCTCCGCAACACTAGAGATGGCTATCATTAGGCACAAATAGGTATATATGTAAAATTATTCTGTATATACTTCTATCTTTCTCTATTCTCTACTATAGAATAACCATTCAGTCATCTGTTGATAATCTCTGTACTATTTCTCAAATCCAAATGTTCATTAATATTTACATTCTTATTATATCTTTCCTAGACTATTATAACACCTTCCTAACTAATTTCTAGATTACAGCCTCTAGACATTTCCTTCCCTTTTAAAACACAATGCATTTGACTGCTGGAAAATTTTAATTTCATGAATGCACCGTTCTCATTAGCAGTCCTTTGCACATAGTAGGTATCAGATAAATAGTCGTTAAATTAATGATGTCATTATCTTTCTTCAAAACTTTTAATGGCTCCTCAATCAAATAAGTAAAATCTAAATTCTTTAGCTTGGCTTTTAGGGTTTTACACAATATAGCTCCAATTTATCATTGGCCTTACCTCACATTCCTGAAACAGACCCAGCATTTTTCATATTTTGTACTTTTGCTCATGCCACTCTTTCACCTAAAATTCTCTCTCCCTCCTCCTCCCATTGCATTTTACTCTATGCCTACTGAAATAATACTCATTTCTTCAAGGATCAGATTGTCACCCTGGAGTATTCCTATATAAAATAATAATAGCTAACATCTATATAAAGTTTAATGTGTACCAGGCATTGTGTTAAGCTCTTTATAAGTATTATCTTATTTGATCCAAAACAACCCTGGAAGGAAGGTGCTATTATTATCTTCACTTTTACAGATGAGGAAACTGAGGCAGAGGTTAAGTGATTTCTTTCGGACTTCAGGTCCATTGCTCCATCAACTGTGCCACCTAGCTGTTCTTAATCATCTATAAGTGATTTCCTGCTTCTTATTCATCCATGTCTCTCCCTCATGGAATCTTAGCACAGTGTCTTTTATAGTACCTGTAGAATAAATGAACAATGAACAGAAACAGGGAAATTCAACAAAGATACTCCCATCAGCAAACACAGGGCCAGCAATACATTTTCTAACATTATTTAGCTTTCCTAAAATAATAGTATTTTTTTTTCAATCTAGACCCTGTGATTTCAGCAGTGCAGAGAATTCTGGGTGCAAAAACTCCCTCTACTGATGCAGATGGACAATTTGTCTGAAATTTACAGTCTTAGACAATGACCCAGAGCACTGGAAACTTAGAGGGTTTGCCATACTGTCATGTAGCTACTATGTATCAGGAGTAGGTCTAGAACCTAGGTCTTTCTGGCTCCAAGGCTGACCTACCACAATCATATCTACTGTTCATTTCAAATGAGAATTGAAAAGCACAGAGAGGAATAAACAATTAATCAAACAAGATTTAGGAATATCTCAAAACATTATTTCCTAATTGAAGCAATTTCTCTATAGTGAAAGAATTTAATAGGATATATATATATATATATGTATATATATATATATCAAAGATCTATAAATTTTCTTTGACTATTTTATTTGCAATATTTTTGTAATCATTTGCTTTTCAGAAAAACATATTTTAATGAGTTTTTTCTACATAAAATAATGGGAAAATTCTCTAGACTAAGCATGCCACTCAGGCCTTAAATGTTTGTTATTATAAAGAGACTATTTTAATCCTCATCATCAGGTTCTAGTTAGCCAAACTAATA